TTAAATTAGAGGTTTCAAACAATTTATAGTAAATGATAACTCTTAGATTTTTCTTTGGATCATTCAATCATATTTATTGATGAATTGTTTTTAATTGCATTTTCATCCTCTTAAAAATTACACTGTATTTGGTTATGATAGAATAAGTTAATGGTGTCTTTATTTTCGTTTGTGTCAGGGATGGTCTGGTGTGTTTCTTCCTAAATTTCGTTAAGGCTAATTTTATTTGTTTACCGATGATGTGGTTATGGAAATTATTTTTGATTGCTGTTTGTTTAATATTGCTAGGTTCCTTACAGGATAATATTTCTGAAGAGGAGATTACTTTGGCTTCGTAAGTCATACTCTTATAATAGCTATTTTGTATCTATAAGGACATACACTTTTGAAGTTAAGTAAATACAAGTTTATGCTAGTGAGTTCCGTATATATATATATATATATATATATATATATATATATATATATATATATATATATACATCATACTCACTCACTGCCTAATGAGCCAAATTTTAACACACATCCGCAGCAATATACACGCTTACACATAACATACTCACTCACTCCCTAAGAACCAAATAACACACACACACACACACACACACACTTAACAGAGACACAACCCCTCTCCATGAACCAATAAAACTGTCAAACTGACCAGGGGAATTCAGAGCAGCATAGATCCATTCAGCTCTTATCTCAAATAACAACTTAAAAGAGACTGTTTGACCAACACAAGGAATGTTAAAATATTCATGTTAAAAAGATAAAAAAAATTAAAAAAAACAAATGAAACCTACAGACAAAAGTTCATTTTCTCTATCAAGACATTCATTTCTGTAGTTTACTGCTACCAGCAAGCAGAAATATTTCTTCTCCTTATGATGGCCATTTTGGCCGAAACTTGTCGAGGAATCTAAATGAAATAATAATAATAATAAAAACGACAGAATATTAATCTACAACCCAGTGTGTCTGAAGATTTAAATTTTTAATTTTTTTTATTGTTCAATATATATATATATATATATATATATATATATATATATATATTATAGGCAGCATCTTTTCATTCATGCACGTTTCATTAAATAATATAGACAAGTGTTGTCTATTTATTTCATGTAAAAATTTTTCGTGACGTCTGATAAGTTTAATAACATTATCGTTGAACGAAGAAAGAAATTTCACAATATTGATCCATATTATTTTAATACAATCTAAGCTTTCGGCTTACTTAAGCCATTATCAAAGATGTCAATTACAACATATTACACAATATACGGACACGACAGTGATGATAGTCTGTCATTGTTTACATAGATGATTCCTAAGCAACGATAAACACGCGCATATAAGACGCTAGAAGCGAAAATCGCACCGCATCTCATGACGTCACATATGACCACACGAGAGTGAATTGTAGAAGTATAGAAAGCCGTTGGTATAAACCAATGGCTTCTGTTACCAATTATAGACATTTAAGAATATTTGTAGAGATGCCATAATTGATTTTGTTTAGCTTGGGTTTCAACTGTTTGATGTATAATGCTTCAAGGATTTTTAGTTTTTGTCTATTGTTTTCATGTCGAAGTATAATTGTGTTTTCGACAAGTATTTTACGGAATTGTGAGTGCGGGCAGGCATGTTGTTTTAAATGCCTAAAAATGTTAGAGTTTTCATTAAAATGTAGTGTCGTGAAAGCGAGTTTGTGGTGTGACCAACATAAATATTATGCACGAATATATATGAAGATTACTTAATTTTTAAATATCAATTTTCTGTGGTTTTCCCCGACTTCGAAGTTTGGTAAATTTGCCTTCTTCAGGAGGTTTGATTTTAAATGATATGATTTAAAATCAGACCCCCTTAAAAAACGGAAATTTACCAAGAAACTTCGAAGTCCTGGAAAAACCACAAAAAAGTTGATATTTAAAAGTTAAGTAATCTTCATATATAAGTTAAGTAATTTCTCTATTAATGCTCTATTTGTAATATTATTTTAATTTTTTTAATATGTATATAAAAATTTCAGCTTTTTCTTAAATCTTAATTCATATATATATATATATATATATATATATATGTGTGTGTGTGTGTGTGTGTGTGTGTGTGTGTGTGTGTGTGTGTGTGTGTGTAGCAGAGCAATCAGTGTTTTTCAGTCCTTGGTTGGCCACAAGTCTAAGAGGAAGAAAACACTGAACTGACCACCATTTCGTTATCAATCTTCTGCTCGTTTTCTACAGGTTTTCACCACAGGTTATTATCATTATAATTAAATTATGTCTGTGGCTATTCGGCTTTGGGGGTTGGTTGGCGAAGGGCGTTTTTTGATGTCCTCTCTGTACCACAGTTTATGAAGATATGTAGGGAATTTAACGGTTGACCACAGACTTGAACAGGCCAAGTTCAGGGAAGTATATCATGAGAGTTGTTTCGTGGGAAGAAGCTGTGCGAGTGGAACTTTCATCTTCCCAATGAAATTCAAAGGCTGTTTCGATACATTGTACGTGGCATGGCGGGTCTTGGTCGTGAAAGTTAGAACTGATGGAACTGAAGAATGTAGTTCGTCTGAGCACTTTGCATGGAAATAGCGATAGAGAAGCGAGACACTTTCGATATTTCGTCTGTGTTGTAAGATAGAAAATAAGAGGATTCTGGATCCTATCGAGACTGACAAATTAAGACTGGACAGCTCCTACCCATGTAAGACAACAGTACTTCATTTTCGACTTGATCTGGATCTTGTAAAGCTATAGCGATACAAAGGCCCAATCACTTTTCCAACATCTTTAGCGAGAGATTGTATGTGCAAGCTCCACTTCAGGTCTGTGTTGAATTTATGTTCCAACAAGCGCTTACGATTCGGGTACACACTGAGAGAGTAAACATTCATCGCGATAGGTAAAAATTCAGGGTACACTATGTCTTCATGCCATGTCACTATATATTTTTCAAAATTCAGGTGGGCAATGACAGACCATAACCTGGTCGGTCATTGCCCACCTGGATTTTGAAATATATTAATGCTCTGCCATTTCTTATAGCAGTAACCATTCTTTTTTTCCAGTTTGCAATCTTAAGTAGAATCTTTTGGGTGCTGCTTATCCTTTTTCTCTAATTATATATATATATATATATATATATATATATATATATATATATACATCACAACTCTAACTGAAGAGTCATAACATAATTTATTGTTAGAATGCACACTATACCAGAAAACAATATGGGGGAAAATCTGAATGGCCCTTTCATTACAGAATTAATAATTGTCGGAATCAAATAAAAAAAATTCACTATAATTGAAAAAATAGAAAATAGACAAAAAAGGTAACCTTAGAAAACACTAGAGGAACATGAGGACAAATGTATTGTGCACTTCAAAACACTTGTCCAAACGGACTTAACCACAAAATTAACAAAACAGATAGAATTAATATATAATCCCATAAATCAAGTCCTCACATTTCTTACCTACACAAGAAAAACATGCTTGCAGAGGTCACACTTATACACACACTCACAGAAATATATATACATACACAGATCACACACACTCAAAACTAAAAGATAACATACACTTAACAAACATATCCCCTTCCCAGCAACCAATAAAACTGTCAAATTACGAAGAAAGGAATTCTGAGACATAGAAATCTCCCAGTCTATCTTAAAAACAACTTGAAAGAGACCGTTTAACCAATACAAGGTCTGAACAAAATTAACGATAAAAAAAAATAAATGAAGACTACAGATAAAGTTCATTTTCTTCAGAGACAGTCATTCACTCCTCTAGTTCACTGCTACTAACAAGCAGGGATTTTTTTTTCTGATGATGATGTCCATGCTGGCCGAAACACTAGTCGAGGAACATAATTGAAATGATGAAACAAAAAAATATTAATATACAAGCCAGTGTGCCTGAAAATGTTTAATTTTTTAATATTTTATTATTCAAACACACACACACACACACACACACATATATATATATATATATATATATATATATATATATATATATATATATATATATATATATATATATACAAATAACATATTTGTTCACACCACTGTTGATCACGCGGGATTATGAGCTCTTTCCCAGAATCTGTACCTATCGTCCGCTTAGTATATTTGCAGTATAAACCACAGTTTTGTTTTGTGGCTGTTAAAAAACACAAATGTGCCTGAACGGGTGTCTGCAACAAGGATTAGCTCGCATGGAAAAGAGTAACTGGACATTATTATTAATATATTATTATCTATATTACTTAAGTTTAATATGTTCAAATATGTACACTACTACGTCAATATAAATGTGAATAGCATGTGTGTGTGTGTGTGTGTGTGTGTGTGTGTGTGTGTGTGTGTGTGTGTGTGCCGACGCTAAGACATCCCGACAAGCTGTGTTGTTAAAATACTGACTGTAAAATCAAAGACAATCAATCGATTCATTTGTCTCTTACTCCATTAATTAGCAACTTTTCTGACTCCAGTTAATTTACTCGACTCAAAAGCAATTTTTCCCCCGAATGAACTTTGATTTCATAATTTCCATAATTATCCATTTCTAGCATTCTGCTCCATTCAAAGATCAGTTTTTGTTCGATAAACCACCAATATTACCAGCGAGAAGTTGTATTTTGCAATTAATCAGACACGGTTCTCTCCCCCTTGTAACGTAATATCACAGAAAAGAGAACTTCACTGGGACGCGAAAATATTTTCGATAAGACATCTCCAACATTGCTTTTAAGTCAAAGCAATATTTGGAAATAATTCAACTACAGTTATCTCCCTTTGCAATATTTTTTTTTTTTCTGCAATATATTTTAGCCGACAAACACCGAAAAAATCGTTTCACTTCAAAAGTAATAATTTCTGATTGGTTTTACGTAAATTCCAAGAACTTGATTTTAATAATTGACCCTATTCATGTTACTATAGCAAAAACCATATCTATTGAATGTGATATCAGCAATTACATAGATAGACTGAGAGAGAGCAAAGAACATTATGAAATAGAGAGAGAGAGAGTTAAGAGCATTATGAGATAGATAGATAGATAGATAGATAGATAGATAGATAGATAGATAGATAGATAGATAGATAGCAAATAGACTGAAATAGATAGATAGAGAGACAGAGAGAGATAAGAACATTATGAAATAGATAGATAGACAGACAGACATACAGAGAAAGAGAGAGCGAGATAGATAGATAGATAGATAGAGAGAGAGAGAGAGAGAGAGAGAGATAAGAACATTATGAAATAGAAAGAGAGACAAAGAGAGCGAAAGAGAGAGTGAGAGAGATACGAAGATTAAGAGATAGATAGATAGATAGATAGATAGATAGATAGATAGATAGATAAACTCAAAATATGAATTCAAATATATTGGCAGTTAGAAAAGTTGGAAAATCTTCCAGAATCTGTCTCCCGTATTTAAAGATTTCATTCGATACTTCGCCTATTACGCGAACTCGAACACCGACTATTGGCAACAGAAACTGACTCGCTAGCAAGATAGACTGCACGCGGAGGAAAATCTCCTTAGTAACAAAGAAAGTTACTCGGAGAGCCGTGTTCGAATTCCAGTCAAATCATAGCATTCACTTATTCTAATACCTTTGGAAGGGTATGAATCCTCTTTTTCTCTCCCCCACCCCAGCTATGGGTAAATAGCAGGACAGACCGGTTTCTATAGCTAAGGATGACAACTGGTCTACCGCAGAAAGAAATGGCAACCTACTGCGGGAAAAGGTCTGCCTCGTCAGTCATGTATCCAAAGATATATGATTGCCTAAGCGTGTATCCCGCATGTCACATAATTGACTGAACAAAGAAAAGAGTATTGAATATGGTAGTGAATATTGGACAATTTTCTCGTAGATGATGAAGAGACTCATAGCAACCGAAATCTGGTTCTACAGAAGGATGTTGAGAAATACCATGGACTGAACATGTGACTAATGACGATGTTTTACAATAAGCGAAAACAAAATGGATATTTATAATTAAGAGACAGTTGAAATTTCGAAGACATAAAAAACAAGGTTTAAAAGAGTTGACACTCACAGGCCAGGCAAGAGAGATAGAAGAAAAAAAAACGCACAGCCTACCTAGTGTGTTTGGGTAAATGGATGGAAGAACAATGTTTAGCAGAGATAGCAAAAAGACAGAATTTACTAGTTGTTAGAAAGAACAGGAAATTGTGGAAAAATAATTTACACCAACGTCCTTAAGGGACACGTCAAATGATTCAGTGACATGAAAGCAATTATTGAGTTGTCATTAGTAAAATCGTATACAAAGCTTTTCTTCTTTTATGTGCCGTGTCCCTTCAGGACGTAGGCGATCATGGACCTCCACATCTTCCTGTCCCTTGTAAGTTTTGTAATTTTGTTATTTCTCTTAAACCCTGTTCTACCTTCCATCAAGCTCATCAAGTATGTTAAACGCTGCTTTCTTCTGACCATATTTGCCTAAATCTGTCTTGTGAGTATCATATTTTCAAGCCCTCCTTCCTCATTCCGTATCCCAAATATTTCAACTATCTTTTCTTAATGTTAAGTATAAGTTACATACTTGTATCTGTCTATATTTCTGAGATGAGGTATTATGTACACTATTTACATTATTCGGACTATTGTCATCTTTGTCGCCATATTTATTACAACGTTTCGGCCGTTGTACGTTCCGGCCTTCTTCAGGTGGTTGGAATGTCGAACTGAACCCTTTATTTAGCTCACTGGGGTAGACTGTTCTAGTTCCACGTGCCATGGATCTAACCAATGCCTTAGATCCAGTGACAGGACCCAAAGTGTGTGAGTTCAATACCCGGTTAAAGCAGTGGAGAACATGGGGAGGGGAATTAACAGGAGATAACTGATAACTGACATCCATCAAACATGGCACGTGGAACTAGAACAGTTTACCCCAGTGAGCGAAATAAAGGGTTCAGTTCGAAATTCCATCCACCTGAAGAAGGCCGGGGTGTACAACGGCCGAAACATTGTAAGTTTCCTTCTTTTTTCCATTGTCCCCAAAACCTTGTTGTCTATCACATGTTTGGTCTATGATATCCCCATCATCTTTCTGTAGAACCACATTTCTGTTGCTTCGAGTCTCTTCTTCATCTTTGAGGGGATTGTCCAGCATCCACTGCCATATAAACGGACAGATATCACGTAACAGCTCAGTACTTTTTTCTTTGTTCCTGACGAATTTTTCTGTCTCTTAATACTTTGCTTAGCTTTTGGTATGCATCTTTGGCCATCCCAATACGTCTTCAGATCTCAGTGTCACACTTTCCTTCCTCGGTTAGAACATTTTCCAGATATTAAAATTTTGAGACTTGTTTGATTTTAGTATCCCCGATATGTAATTTGTATTTTGGGTTCACCATTTTCTCAAAATCATGAATTCTGTCTTCTTGTAGTTTATATTTAATCCTTTCTTCTTTCTTTCCTTTGCAACCTTGTGTAGTAGCTTTTGTAGTCTCCTTCAGTGTAGTATATATTCCTTTTCAAACAGCCCACGGTATTGCAGAAGGTGAATCTTGTCCCGGGGATCCCAGCCCAGTGGCGGTACCTCATTCATTATACAAATTTTCAGTATCTTTCTGTAGAACCACATTTCTGATGCTCAAGTCTCTTCTTCATCCTTGAGGATTTTTTCCAGCATCTACTGCCATATAGAAGGACAGATATCACGTAACAGTTCAGTATTCTTTTCTTCGTTTCTAACGAAATTTTTCTGTCTCTTAATTCTCTGCTTAGCTTTTGAAATGCATCTTCAATCTTTCATCCCAATACGTTTTCAGATCTCAATGTCACACTTTCCGTCCTCTGTTAGAACACTTCCCGGATATTTAAATATATGTACCTGCTTTATTTTACTATCCCCGATTTGTAATTGCATTTTGGGCTCACTCTTTTGCTGATAAGCATTCATTCTGACTTGTAGTTTATGCTAAGTCCTTTCCCCTCGCTTTCCTTCGCTACCTTCTGTAGAAGCTTTTGTAGTTTGATTTCCGTATCTACTATCAACACTGTCATCTGCATATCTTATGTTGTTAAGATTGTGGCCGTTAATAATGAATCCTAATAGGACATCTAATTCTCTTAGAATTGCCTCGCTACGTTGAATAAATCCGGTAGTTCATAAAGCTTAAATTAGCACAAATTACCTTCCATAATAAATTACTAGAAGGCAGTGCTGAACCATTGTTTCAAATAAAAATGAACTTGTCTTTTTTGTGTGAATTTATGGGATAAGGAGTTATCATTATTTACACTATTTATATTGGGACTATTGTCCACATCTTTGTTGTTTTTATCACAACGATTCGGCCTTCCTCAAGTGTATATAGATCTTGGTAACCAACAAGGAATTCCTATTGAGTTGTACCATTAGTAAAATCTTATACAGGGCTCTTCTTCTTTTGTGTGCCGTGTCCATTTAGGACAGAGGGGATCATGGGTCTCCACATCTTCCTGCCTCTTGCAACTCTTAATAAGTTTTGTCTTTTCTTCCAAACTATCCAGTAACTCAACCTTATCCAGTATACTACGAGCTGCTTTCCTCTTTCCCTCAATCTGTCTTGTGAGTATCAGGTTTTCCAAACCCTGTTTCTTCATTACATACCCCAGAAATTTCAACCGCCTCTTCCTAATGCTAAGTATAAGTTTTCTTTTTGGTTTCCATTCTCTTCAAAACTTCATCCTTATCTTCAATATGAAGTTAAGCAACTTCGAACCCGGTTAGTATTTAGATGGGGGACCGCTTGGCAACGACCGGATATTGTAAGCCGCAATTCCGGGCGATAAGGGAATTTATCAGAAAAATTATTGCGAAAAAACTAAGAATGTCTTCTACTGTAATTAATACGACCTGAGAGGTCAGAGGTCGATTATTTTTCTAATTTATTTCTGTCCATATCCGCCATCGCACTGATTCTGTCGAAGATGTCCAGCCTTACGAGTTTTTCGTTTGTTATCTTTTGGTTTTGTTTTGTTTGTTTGATGTTTTCTTTTTTTCTTTTTTTTTTTTTCCTTGTAAGATGGAGAAAATCTGATGGTACAGCCGGCACACGATACACTGCACTGAAACAGAAAAATAACTTACGGCGTATTTCGTAATTATTTTCTACAGTTTAGTTTAATTATCTGTGAAAACACAAATTCGTACGAGCCACCGTTAACTGATACGACAACGCTTCTGTCATGAAGTTATTAATAAAGATTTATTTGATTTGGGGTTATCTGATCGAATTCTAGAGTATTTATAATCAGTTCGGATTCATATGAAAGGAGAACTCTTCTGTACATTAAAATTTTGGAAACCAACAAATGTAGTTGTTTTGCTGATTTTGTTTTGCTGATTTTGTTTTGCTGCACATCAACCTTTATTAAATGCCGAAATCTAAATATTTTAAACATAATTTTATGCCTCCAACTACAAATATTTTGTACATAATTTTATACTTTCAGGGTAAAATTATGTTTTATAGATATATAGTTTGTAGATGATAAAATGTTTAAAATAAATGTATTATGGCAATTTCACTACAAATATATATTATTGGTATTTTATATGAAAATATATTACTGATAATTTTACTAGAAAGATGTTTTTATATACTTTTTTAGTGTTGTATTGATTGTCATTTTACTATAGAAATGTATTGCTGATAATTTTACTATAAAATGTATTGTTGATAATCTTACTGTAAGTATGTATTGTTGATAATTTTATTACAAAAATAGACTGCTGATAATTTTACTATAAAAATGTATTGTAGATCACTTTACTATAAAAAATTTTTGGTAATTTTATTACAAAATATATTGTTGATAATTTTATTATAAAAATGTATTGTTGCTCATTTTACTATAAAAATATATTGTTGCTCATTTTCCTATAAAAATGTATTGTAGATAATTTTACTATAAAAATGTATTGTTGATAATTTTATTGCAAAATATATTGTTGATAATTTTTTTATAAAAATGTATTGTTACTCATTTTACTATAAAAATGTATTGTTGATAATTTTACTATAAAAATGTATTGTTGATAATTTTATTACAAAATATATTGATAATTTTGTTATAAAAATGTATTGTTGATAATTTTACTATAAAAATGTATTGTTAATCATTTTAACTGAAAAATGTATTGTTGATAATTTTGCTAATAAAATATATTGTTGATAATTTTATCATAAAATGTATTGCTGATCATTTTACTGTAAAATATATTGCTAGTAATTTTATTATAAAAATGTATTGTTGGTAATTTTAATATAAAAATCTATTATTGCTAATTTACTATAAAAAAAGAAGTACTGTTGGTTTTTGTTTGGGGGGT